CAAGCATTACAAAACAATTACCAACGGCTATCAACAAACGTATTGCATTTCTCTCATCGGACGAACAAACATTTAAGGTATCTACGCCTATTTACCAGAACGCCCTTAGACATCGCAACTTTGATCACGAATTTACCTATACACTGAGGATACATCTCAACGGACGCTTAGGAATAGGCAACGCAACATAAATTTGGTTCAACCCACCATTTAGTAAGACGTATTACATACGACGGGAATTCTTAAGTTTAATTGACAAACACTTTCCACTACAGCACAAACTACACCAGATTTTCAACAGAAACTCTTTAAAAATAAGCTATAGTTGCATGAACAACGTTAATTAGTCTATAATCACCAAACACAACGCACATATAATTAGGAACAGCCAATCACACGCAGAATACGGAAACTAACAACTGTAACTGCAGCAATAAAAACACTTGCCCACTACCAAAACAATGTATGACCAACAACATTATTTACAAAGCCACAGTCACAACGAACAACACGAACGACACTAAACACTACATTGGTATGAAAGCGACTACATTTAAGGAACGTTACGCTAATCACACTTCATCTTTTCGTCATAAAAAAGACTCAAACAAAACGGATCTTTTGAAACATATTTGGAAATTAAAAGGTCAATTTTAAAACACGCTATTTCGTACACAGGGGAATTAAAACGCATAAACACATCAAGACATAAAAAAAAATAATTTACTCAATAAAAGAAGCGAAATTTTCGGCAAGTGTCGTCACAAAAACCGGTTTCGAGTAAACAAGGTCGTTAACAAAATTTTATCACCCAAGCATTGTTTCGACTACGCACTATGTTTCGCCTAATGCCTGCCGTACACGAGAGCAACTTGCTGAGCTAACGGTTAGCTCAGCAAGTTGCTCTCGTGTGCGGATAATTTTCGTGTGGATTTGACCTCTCGAGCCCTTGGGGAAAATATCTATCGTGTTTGATATTTTTCGCCTCGCGAGGAAAAAAATCTCAGCGTCTGCGGATGTTGTGAGCCAAGTGCTGAGCTGTTTGAATCAATTAGCCAATGACAAACGATGGTTTCTTCATGTCACTTGGAACAAAATGGAGGAAAATGGAAATGATTTTGTCAATTATCTTGTTGTTGAGTAGTTTTCCCAACATGTGCGGTGAAAATACATAGCTGAGCTATAGCTGCCTCGCGAGGCGGTTAGCTCAGCAAGTTGCTCTCGTGTGCGGCGGGTTGAAGCATCAATTGATCGCCTACACGCATTCCGCACATTCTGTCGATAGCATAAAAGCACCTACATCTTCGAAATTACTTACCGCATGCACCTGATGATTCCTATACGGATGAAACAGACTGTTGTGGTTTTTTGAGGTAAAACGAATGTTATATATATATATATATATATATATATATATATATATATATATATATATATATATATATATATATATATATATATATATATATATATATATATATATATATATATATATATATATATATATATATATATATATATATAGATATATATATATATATATATATATATATATATATACGCTACAGTATTCTTATATTTAAAAAAATATTGATTATAGACGTCTCGGCCGCCCTTCAGTTACAAGACAAATGTTTATATAAAATTCGCTATCCCCCTGATAATGAATAATTTAAATAATGATTTTTTCAAATATTCTCAAACGTGCGAAATTGTAAAAGTAAAGGTAAAGATTTATCCAAGATTGCGTTTTTAATAGTTATAAATTGAAGTTTTGTTTTATTAATTATGATGTCCATCTCCCTTTTTTCAAAGATTTATAAACAAATTTAGAACGAATAACTGAAAAAATGACAATCCTATGCCATAACGCTACAATCCCTGCCACTCATAATACTGTAACCCAGCCTTGCAAAGTATAGACAAAATTTGAATTGAGACTGATAGATGTAATAAAATAGTTCTATTATTATATGCCTATAAATAAAAGCCTAAAAATAATATGCCTATAAATAGGTAAAAATATAAGAATATGTCACCTTGAATTTTTGCATCGACATAATCTTGTCCCGTGTCTTGATTTTCGTCGTCGTCATTTTTCTGTCGTCCTATTACAACTTTCCCTCCAATATGTTTGTGCTCGTCAGAGTTAAACGTTACCATTCCACGAAGTTTTGGCCCAAAATGTACTAAATTCCCTATTTCATGGTGCTCGTCAGGGTTGTATTTGTCGAAGGCTTTTAAATCAATGCCATTGTTAATCTTCTTGTGCTCAATAGAATCGAATGTATATCCCTGGAGACGAAAGATTAAAAATGTCGTATCATCCAATCATTGTTACATCAGAATTTTTGTCCTAAAATAAGTATTTTGATGACTAATCTGAGGTGCGGAAGAATGCAGTACGGCGTATATTTGATTTATTTTCAATAAGTAATTCTGTCATTATATAATTGAACTTTCCTTGTATGTAAATCAATGAATTCACATTTTTTTTTTTTAATCTTTTGATGCAGTACATGCAGTGTGCAACCGCCATCGATCAAGTGCCAGTTAATGAACGGAATTATCATTTCTCACGCCGCCATTTTTGGGTGGCATTTCAGCCGAAATCTACGAGATAAGTAGAAATTGATGATCAATTTGCTTTGTAAATGGTTAAAATTGGAAAAATTGCTTTTCACATTGTTTTAATCGTCTGCATTGGTTAACGAGAAAACATCGTGAAAAAGGCTAATTAATAAGCGCTTAAATTTCGAGCTATGATGTCAAACTTCGTACTATAGAAGTTTGCCTAATATTTTATTTTTGGGACACTTGATCCTCGGAGTCTTGCACCCTTATCCGTACAGATTCACTAGAGAAGTAGCTGATTAATGAATCTTTTAGTTCTCTCAGTCTGAATAAAAAAGTCTTACTAATTAATGGTATACAATGTACATTAAAAGGCCAACGAATATCTTCTAAGTGACGAAGCTTCAGACCAGTACATAGAATTAATTGTTATACCAGGCTGCGATCGCTATAAAATTATTGATTGTTTTGACATAGAACAAGGCAATTTATCGTCTTTGAGATTTTCTTATCTTGCAATTTCACATTTAATAGTGTTATCTTGCATTGTTTATGTTTGCATTGCTGACTAATTCTATGTCTCAGTGTGCGTTTGGAGGGGAGGGGGAGGGTACTAATTTCCGTAAATTCTCCGACGCACACAAAACATTTTCCAGAATTAATTTAACATATTTCCTAATAGTATAGGGAAGAGCAAAAGATCTCCACCAATTACGTCATCAGAATTTCATTTCAAATCAATTACACACGCTTATAGTATTTTATGACGTCATTTGGATATGATGCCGCCAATGACGTTACAATTACCAAATTCCGTTACCATTAGGTTGCGTTACTGACAGGTGCCGTTACATGGTTACGTTACCTGTCACAGGACTCAGTGACATTATCATACCACACAATAAGTTGCGATACCAAATAGCGTTATCATTAAGTTGTGTCAACCTCGTACCCAGGGCTAGCCGCGAATTGAAGGCGGCGGCATAGCCCTGGTAAACGCTGGTCACGTGACTCCAACATTACGTAATTGTTACTTTTCTCAACCGGGAGGTGAATGCTAGAAGTGAAACTCGAAGACAAACAGTTTTTATCTCAGAAATTCTTCAATCTTCCCTGTGAATTTTGCATTTCAACCTATTCTCAAAGTGCGGCGATCGATCAAATGGATCAATACTTTCTGTAGAAAAAACTCAGTGAGATTTGTTCGAATGAGATGTTTAATTAAAAGACCTGGATAAGTAGCTCAAGACGCTCGATCATTTGCACAGGTTTATGGACTTATGGTTTAGTACTTTGTTCAGTTTGTTGCGATTTGCAAATGAATGCAAATTCAACTCTTGTATAATGACTAAAAGTTTGTTTGTAGAGGGAAAACTTATACAAAAGATATGAATGCTTGAGCTTCAAATTAGGGACAAGTTCATGGACATCCCTAATATATGGACATTAATATTTCACCAATATGTAAACATGAAGTCATTAAACATATAAAAGGATTGTTGTTGTATATGTACAAGTATTGTGCTGTGGTATTTTTTGTTTTTAACCCATGAAGTGGCAATGCACCATACTTTGTTAGTTTACTCTGTCTAATGCCAGACAATTTTACTCGTCAGGTGGACAGTGCATGCCGCCACTCATAGTTAACATAGTCGATGAACATGCCAAATGATCCTTGACCGTGGTAGTGCATTTTTGCACTTGCTGGATGATATCGCAACCAAACATTGTTTCAGAGGAAGAGCCCTGAGATCATGCTGTGTAGCAATTGGAATCTCGTATAGAGCCTACTCTCGCATAAAGCAGGCAAGACCTTCACTCAGAAGCCAGGATTAACATTAATTCCCCACATAAACACTTGGAAACCGCACTGTCCCATCTGCCATATCCAGGACAAAAAAACATGCAGCCTGGGACTTTAACTGTTAAACAACCAAATCAGCATGATAAATCTGTAAACAGTGTGATAATTTTTGTTTAGCCCAAACCAAAGCCAGTTTTCTAGAATTAATTTGCAGAATCCTAAGAATTGGACCTCCAACTTGAAGAGCTAGCTGTGCTAACCAAGATGCACGGGCAACCTAGAGCAAATCGTCAAAAAATAATAGAGAGATTAGATTTGACTTCCACCACTGATAGTGCTATCATTAACTATTAACCAGTTAAGTTTCATTTATCCAACAATCAAACAGTTCGATGCAACTGCCAGATCAAGTAGTGGTAGTGGAAGTCAAATTTGAACTCTATG